CCCAGAATAAGCAATATGTGATAGCACAACAAAGTGGCTATAATCAAGAGTAAGTTAGGGTATACTTTCAAATAATTGAAAGAGTGGAATTGAGATGTTCCTAACACAAATGATAAATGCCTGAGGCTGTAGATACCCAAACACCCTGATTTGATTAATTCACATTGTATGCCTATATCAAAACATCACATATACCCTTTAAAAGTATGCAAGTGGTAGGTACACATAATAACTTTAAAAAATACATTATAAAATTTTTCTATATTAAATTTTCTTTTTGTCCTAAAATCAAGGCTGTGCACAGCTAATAATTTAATGTAAATAAAAAATCAACTCCAAGTGACCATTCAGAGTTGTGCTGAACACTTTGCTCTTTATTGCCCTTACATCTAAGTCAGTTTTACTATCGTGTTTTTTTCCTTCTCTTAAGCATGAAATCTTACCCATAAGGCAACTGTAGTTTCTTGGTAATTATATTAGTTGTAGTCTGTAAAACAGTAATTATCTTAAGTATCTCCCAACTAATGATCCCTACATGTTCAGAAAATTACATCGTTATAGAGATATTTTTCTTTGATGTTCAGTTTAAATGAGAAAATGCTTTGGGTGTAAACCTAAGTCTGCATACTTTATTTTAGCATTTTAGAATAATGTAGATTTAAGCACTTATGCTAACCTAACACTTGATTTCTTTCTTTTCTTTTTTTTTTTTTTGAGGCAAGAGTCTCATTTTGTCACTCTCAGTATAGTGCCATGGCTTCATAGCTTACAACAACCTCAAACTCTTGGGCTCAAGCAATTCTCTTGCCTGAGTGCCTGGGACTGCAGGTGCTCGCCACAACACCTGGCTATTTTTAGAGATGGGGTCTGGCTGTGGCTTAGGTTGGTTTTGAACTTGTGAGCTCAAGCAATCCACCTGCCTCAGCCTGTCAGAGTGCTAGGATTATAGGTGCGAGCCACTGCTCCTGAGCTATAAACACTTGATCTCTTAATAAGGAAGGGTAGTATAATCACTCAAGGGACTGTAACAAACTGGTTAACACTGAAGGTGGTCAATATAAGTAACTAGGTCTGCTATACTGATAATGTACATGTAGTATATATCCAGTCTGTGAAAATTAGGTCAACTTAAGGAGATAGACGGTCAATGTAAGGATGTGGTTAACTATGGAGGTTCTACTATATTTTTAGGCAGACCTGCTTCCTTTTAAAAAAAAGTCTAGATCATTTCTTCTTAGTCTTTATAACACCTGTGATATTTCAGTTATTATTAAACATTTTATTTAAAAGGAATTTCATTTTTTCATATAAAAAGTATATGCACATGGCTTGGCGCCTGTGGCTCAAGCGGCTAAGGCGCCAGCCACATACACCTAAGGTGGCGGGTTCGAATCCCCAGCCCGGGCCCACCAAACAACAATGATGGCTGCAACCAAAAAATGGCCAGGCGTTGTGGCGGGCGCCTGTGGTCCCAGCTACTTGGGAGGCTGAGGCAGGAGACTCACTTGAGCCCAGGACTTGGAGGTTGCTGTGAGCGTGATGCCATGGCACTCTACCCAGGGGGAAAGCTTGAGGCTCCGTCTCAAAAGAAAAAAAAAAAGTATATGCACATTAACTGTGAAGGAAAAGTAAGTGTGTTGCTTTTTTTTAATTTCTTGATCTCATTAGTAAGTTTGTTACCTACAAGACAGATCTCAGTTCTGTTCAGGGAATGCACATAGAAATAGGAATAGATGTATATATCTCTGTGAATCAGTTAAATTTCTTGACATTTGATGAGCAGGTGACTTTGTATAATGGAAAACACTGGAGCCAGGAGTCATGGATCTGCCTCTGGCTTTCCCAGTCACTGGTTATGTGGTTGTGGGCAAATAAGCTGAGTCCTTATGGTTCTGAATGTTTAAGAAAGAAACCACGCAGTCACACTTAAGGGATCTGTCCATATAGTTCATTCTGTGTGTGTTTTTGTATAAAACTGAGAGGATTTAAGAGAGAATGCATAAACATCTCTTATATTTTTTAATTCCTTCATGCAATAATCACTTAGTAAATTTTTTAGTGTTCTTTCTAAAGAGTGAAATATTTAATCTGCTTTTAAAAATTCATGAGGTTTCTGAAAAGCCTAGTTTTCTCAGAACTATAAATGAAGAGGTTTATATTGCATGTAAAGTGGTGAGTATGAGGTGAAATTATACCACTGTAATATCCACACGGTCAGCAGCGGGTGAGGAGGCCAGGTTTGCTGTTAATGTTCTGCAGACATTGATGTTATTAATTGTTTTTAATGAAATAGATAACTGTTAATGATTTTGGATTCTCACCAGAACCAAAAAACTAACTGAGGGAGTGAATTATTTATTTAGATTTTCTAAAAAGTGAGCTCACTATTAAGACGCTTCCGAAAGGCTCAGAAATAAAATGTAGATTTTTTTTTTCCAGTTAGTATGGTAGACAATGTAAAAAGTTAGCTTGTAGTTCCAAATTTATTTCACCATTTAAATTTTTATATTTGAAGGCAGGACTACCTTAAATTTGGTTACTTAAGCAATTGCACTGACAGCTAAAATTATAAAGATTTAAAAGTTGGTATTTGTGTCTTTTTAATCTTTGTAAGTCTAGGAAGAAAGCCTTGGAATTTAAAGATCATTAATAGAATACCTCATTTCAATGTCTTTCCATCTGTTTGAATGATATTACTTGAAAGTCTTGTTCTAAATAATAAACATTCTTTGAAATTGAAAATACAGTAAGAACCTCCATAATTGACTGTCTCCCTACATTGGCATCCTCCTTAAGTTGATCTAAGTTTCATAGACTAGACATGTGCCAAATGGATATGTCAATACAGTATGTTGACCACCTCTATATGTTGACCAGTTTGTTATAGTCTTTTGAGTGATCAACTTACAGAGGTTCTATTGTATATATGATTTACAGTGTTATGTCTGTATTATGAATTATCTTTAGAAACTGTTCAAGTGGATGGCGACAGTGTGTGTGAATTGTGTTGGTTTAGTGTGAAGAATACATACACTCACACTAACATGAAACTTAATGTATGGAACTCATTTAACCAGGTATAATTTTGAACCCATCATTCTTTCTTATTTCTTTTGCTGTTATGTAAGTTTACATTGGAAAACATGATGATTAGAAAGAAGGATATAATCACCCATAGATAATCTGATAATGTTTAAGCAAAAAGTATGCTTCATCTTTAAAATAGGAGTGATTGTAACTTGTACCTTATAGGATCATTGTGAGGATCTATAGTTTATGTGGGTATCTAGCCATTTTTTCTTTCTCTGCTGTATGTTGGAGGAA